GGATTATGTTGTTCGTCCTCGTCTTTTGGTCATGATACTCTTTCTGAACTCTTCTCCCTGCTTCAGTATTGTGTGAAATGACCAAGGTAGAAGTGGAGGATGAAGCTAACACTAACTCTGCAGTCAGTAAAAGAGGAGCAGGAAACTTTTGTCATGTATAAAAGAGGATGTGTGGTTCATGCAACGAGCTAGCAGCAAGATTAGAAATAAAGAAATGGCAAAAGATTTGTTTTGTCTTGAGTCAGAAAATGGTAGAATGCCTCATGTGGCGGAGATAAGTATCTCAGGATCTTGTTCACAAGTGAGGAAAGATGGAGCGTGAGATTGATGGGCAGATTTGCGCTGCGTCTGCAGTGATGCGTCTGCAGTGATGCGTCGCTGATGCAAGCGAACAAAATGAGTTTTCCCCACAGGGCGGCTGGGTCCTCCCTTAGAGATAGGGGGAGAAGCTTGGTCGTCCGGGAGGGGCTCAGAGTAGACCCACTGCTCCTCCACATCGAGAGGAGCCAGTTAAGGTGACTTAGGCATCTGATTAGGATGGACGCCTCCCTGGTGGGACTTTTCGGGCACGACCAACTGGGAGGAGACCCGAGGAATGATCCAGGACACGGTGGAGGGGCCGTGTCTCTCACCTGGCCAGGGAACGCCTTAGGATTCAGGAGTTGGCACAAGTGGCTGGGGAGAGGGAAGTCTGGGCCTCCCTGCTTAGGCTACTGCCCCCGCGACCCAACTCCAGACAAGTAGATGAAATTGCATGGCTGGATGATTTGTTTTGTATTTACATGCTTGGTTTCATGTGGTGAACAAGTTCATGCGATTTTATTCTTTAAATATTACACATCACTGGCTGGACCACCGGTGGGGATTGTCTTTGCAGCCATGTTGCTAAACTCCAACGTGCATTGAAGTGACATGTGAAATTGCAATTAATTTCAAAGCCAAGTTTGATTCCATTCAGCTCCATAGCTGTCACCGACTAAGCCAAAAGGATGGCAGTGTTTCATTTCTCATTCCAGGTTCCTCAGAATCAGTCACATTTCTGATCACTGATGGAAATCTGAAACTAAAAAACAAGAAGTGTGACGAAGATTTCAGGTTCACATCTCAGTTTTGTAGCCAGAACACATTGTATCCCTTTATATACACATACAATAGCTTTTCTTATGACACAACAGCTTTTGAGGAACTTTGATTCCACAACATATTTAAATCAAACTATGCTTTAGATGTTGATCTACTGGCATATCATAACCATGAACGTGCCTAAAAGGTTAATAAACTGGTACATAACCTCAATGGGATTACCCCTGTGCCCAAATAAGGCAAAAGCTCCCAGTTTGTCCATCTGATGCTCTCAGTCATCATCGAGCGTAATAACTGGAAGGGTCAGACGGCCCGCAGATCTCTCCAGATTCTGGGAACTGTGGAAAGTTACTCATCCACTCTTGATGTCTGCCTTTTATCTCACTCTAGTTGGGCTAATGTTTAGCGGAGGATGGGCTGTAGGGGGACAGAGCCATTAGGAGGAAGTGGTCTGAGGAAATAAGAGGTAGTGGGAGTGATGGGAGCTGTGGCTTTTAAGAAACCATTTTATAAACACAGGCAGTGAAAGGAGAAGCTCCGAGCACGCTGAGAGGAAGAAAGTAAATGGTGGCAAAACGTGCTATGGCAGCCATTAGTTAGTCAGACCCAAGAAGAGGAGCGATGATGTTGACCTCTCGGCACAGAGCAGAGAAAAAATTGGTCAACAATGAAACCAGTGAAGTACAGCACCGAGGATATTTCTGTGGCTACAAAGTCATGTAACATTTTTATTTTAATAAACCCTCCCCCTAAAGGATAAGATGTGCAAATGATTCATAGTGCTGAGTGGACTTCACAGTGGACAAACACTCAGTAGGAGAGCTGCATGCAGGCCTGAGCTCTACCATCTTGCTCGTGTGATCTCACCGAGGGAGTGAACAAACAAGCTGCAATACTTTCATATGATGCGCTTGCGTTGGCCAGAAATGAAAGCACGGCTTGTAGCAACAGACCCACACTGTTCTTTAGAGTCAGCTCCAGTATCAGCAACATGTTGGGTCTGAATCCAGGACGCCTTCGAGCAACACTGCACAGAACCCCCAACTGACATCACTCACCTGCAGACGACTGCACTACACGTAACAGGATTACAGTAATCTGATTACAGCCATGATGAATGCATTAAATTTGTCCTTTCCAAAGAGGTATCTCTAGGGAATAAAGCAGAATGAAAAAGTTTGAAATACAAGGTTCGCTCGGCGTAAAATAAGTAAAAGATGTGAAACATTAAAAGAAAAGCGGATTTCAAAAGTGTTTGATATCTGAAGAAAACAATATTGTTCTTTTTAGAAATTGTAAGAAGCATGGCAAGACAAGAACCGTGGTGAAGTGGTGAATAATGAAACATGCAAAAAAACCAAAACACAGCTCTAAGCGTTCACAGGACTTTTCTTGTGTTTCAGATATTTTGAACATGCTCGAAAAATCGGAGACACGAATTTTCATTCCTGTCTGGAACTAGAGGTGATGGAAGGAAGAGGTGAGGGAGGACAACTGGAGACACGAGGGGACGTGCTCTGGTGAGCTGAGGAGAAGAGGTCGGCGTGTTACAGCTACATAGCAGAGACGTTTCTGAACATCTGGATTTGGGTTAGAAAAACCGAGTTTTCCCCAAAATTAGTTCGGTTGTGTTAGCAGAACAGAACAAAAGGTGAACGCTTCATCATGTGAAATACATTGAAGGTGAAACATTGCATCTTTTGAACAAACTTGTAAATATTTTATCACAAGAAAATGTGTTTGTTGTACCGAGAGGGCAGCTTTGTGCTCAAGGCGTACTTTTTGACCAAAGTTCTCCTCTTTGGAGATGAAGAAAAAGCCCTGAACAACAAACGTGCTTGATACATTTTCATCATCATCATCATCATCATCATAGATTTCTGTAGTACCTTCCAAACCTTTGCAGAAGCCCAAGGCACAGTACAATATGAGGCAAAAACACAGTAAAAACAATATAAATCAACAGATATTATAAGAACAATAACAAAATAACATGTTTAGCCATTTGACTGGCTGAGAATTCTCACTGGAAACAAAATAAAGGGCATCAGCGTAACAATTTCATGTAAATTTTGATTAAATATATAAATAAAATAAATATGGTGAAGAAATTATTTCTGATTTGACACGGATCATTCAAAGGAAATGGGCTTAGTATAAAAGTTCCTCAATCTCCACATTTTTTCTTAATTTTGTCTTTTAGAAAGGTGTGGACTGTCCACACTGTGGCAAAGTGTCAGCATTATTAAACAGCAAGACGTATGGAGACGTTTAAGGTACTTAACTGACTAAGCAAGACTTACACTCCCAAGTGGCAATGGAGTGAAGAAAACACAGTTATTGCACAACTTTTTCACAAGATCCCTTGGCACCAAAAACCAATGTAGCAATCAGAAGAAGAAACACTTTTTTTATATAGCGCCTCTCAAGAAAAAAATTCACACGGTGCTTTTTAAAACTGAACACACACACACACACACACACGATTTTAAAAATGGGTAAATGGAAATTTTTCCATTACAAAATGAAAAGAGACTGAGAGTCACATTCAGTGATCAAAAAAAGGGCTACTACTTTTATTGTAATTTAAAAATGTTGTAGCTTATATGGTAAATATATATATTTTAAGGAAGTACATTGGAAGATAACCAGGGATGTTCAAAATCAGCTTTTTTATCGACATCCGATATACTGATATTGTCGAACGTCTGATATATACTTACCGGTACACCAATATACGTGGGGTCCTCTTCATAAAAAATAAAAAAAAAATCTCCTTTCACACTTACTTGCAAAATATGACAACAAATTTAAACTGTTTGAAACATTTTTACTTGTTACTATTACATTTTGTGTTTCCCATTCACAAACTTGTCCACTTTCATTAATATTTCTCACCAAAGTCCATTATACGTTTTTCTATAAGCTTGAAATTTTACATTTTCATTAGGGATGCTCGATATTGACTTGTATTTATTTTTTTATTGATAAACGATGTTAATGTTAGACAAAAAAAATATCGGACATCCCACATTTATTTATACGTAAACTGTGGTCGACCCTCTATAGTCATGGGTCATCTAGAAATATGGTAGCTGGTTAGGGACATACACGATATAGGGATGCAATGGTTCCCTCCGTGGCAGCCTTGTTGGTCTGGGGAGATTCTGCCCCCTCCTCTTGGCTTGCTTTCCCTGCTCCAGGGACACACCTCTGGTTGTCAGCTTTAATTACTCAACACATTTTAAATAAAATTTAGGAAAGAACACAAATTAAAAGAACAGACCCAATCGCTGGATTGGAAGCTGGAAGTCATTGACGACATATTGCTTTTTTGATGCATATGGGCTACCACAGATGCAATACATACTCTCACCTGTGTGGCGTTGAGTCACATTTTTTCAACCACTGGGCTTAAATTAAGCCAGTTGTGCAAAAAAAAAAAAAAAAAAAAAAAAAAAAAAAAAAAAAGAATATACTGTATATGTCCCAAAAGCTAAACCTCTGATCCTTAATTTTTTGCCTTTTGAGTGAAAGGAGGAACAGCTGAAGTGTTTGATGTATGAAACGGTAGGTAAAAATGATCATCAAAATGGTAAAAAGTGATTAATTGTTTAGTTAATATGCAAATACAATTGTGATAAACATGCAAAAACGTTTTTAAAGAAGGTGTGGTATGTTTAAGAATCCAGGTTACAAAAACACATCTTTGTAACCTCTACTAGTTTGATTAATTAGCAAAAGACCACTTTTCTTGGCAGTGTCATGCTTTAGCTTTAATTAATGGCTTACAGACGGTAGGAGAGGCAATGGGGAGGGTTGGGGGAGTGAGGGGGGGAGAAAGGGTGAGGGTTTCAGGCCACATAAATCCTCCAGCGATGTTCAGCTGCTAATTGCGCACACAGGAGGTCTCTTACCTTTGCTGCGCCGATTTGCTCCTTCCGAAATTTCTCCAAGGGAGTAATCAAGACATCGTCAGCATTTTGAATCTGAAATGAAAGTAAAGCAAGAGAAAGACGACAGATGTCAGCCTGACTGAGAGAGTCATTGTAACCCAGCAAATGTGTGAAAATAACTATTAGAAAGACAAATATCACAACATGCAATCTAGAAGTCATCCAGTTTTATTACAAATGCGTCACGCAGGAAATTATAGCCGCCTCGGCTCAAGTCAGATGCGCAAAGAGATGCATTGGTTGGTAATACATGTGAAAGATAAAGCAATCACATTCATTAGTATCTCTTAAAGCAGTGACAATGAACAATGTGTTACTGTGAAGGACCAAAATGAGTACAGCAGAGATAAGAGATCAACAATAGTCTTGCAAGGCAGAGGAAAATGGAGCCTTTCTACGTGAGCTGTGAAGCACCAGAATTGTCAAACCTAGCTGAAATATGACGCAGCGCCGCAGATGAAGCAGCTTTATAAGTGCAGCTTGTGATGCATTTTAATTTCCGAGGTGGTGTAAGCCTCCACGTGTTGGTGACCTCCGGCGCGTCCCGACTGGAGGAAAAAGGTCTCTCCGGTAGCCTCTTCCTTTTTATTCCCCACAGAAACTGATAGGGTGAGATATATTGTGCCAATTACAGCTCACGCTCAATCCTCGCGGGTGAGCGGTTCGAAAAGGTGCCATTAAGGTGCCTCTGAATTTCCTGTGGATGGGCTTTCATCCAGCGGGATCAGATGACATCAGACCGCTGGGGCTGCTCGACGGGAGGCTCTGTCACAAACGACATGGCTCCTGGGTTGATTTAGGGTGTGATTCTGTGCGGTGAGTGTACGTGATAAACTACAGTCCTGGCTCTAATACATCCATGATACCAGCACTAATTTAGTGCTGTCAGCCCAGATGGGCTATCAGCTCCAGAGCCATAGTCCTCTGAACACAACCATTCTCCAGATAGAGTTTTTGTTTTGAACCATTAATCTAAATGCACATCGCTGTCCAAAAATAACCCTGACAGCTCCATCACACATAGACTAACTTCAAAATGGAAATAAAATCTCTCTCAAACAAAATTGTTTTTGCTTCTCCTTTTATCCGCTGCAATGATGGATGCTGCAGAGTTTTTATTGTACTTTAAATGCATAGTTTTGCTCAGATAAGATTTTATTTTCATCATATTTGTCAAAGATCAACAGATGTTTTACTTAGCTTTAAAGCTTTTTGAGTGGAAATAGTTATTCACTGAACATTCTCAGCCCCAAACTGCAGTTTTCTGTCTCTTATGGCAGATTTAGGCTCACTTTATGGTCTAATGTTTTCCTGTAGCAAGCAACAGTGAATGTATCAGAAATAATTATAAGGCTGCAGTACATTTAAGTACTTTGATGCATTAACAGTTAACAAATCCCTACTTAGTGCTGCAGATAGTAAACACCATACTGTATTTACCTGATGGAGTGACAGGGCGAGGTGAATGTTTCAACACTGAAACAGATTGCATTACCTTTAAATTCACTAAATCAGACTAATGGGCAAACCCTCTTGTTACAGTGTTTAAGTTCCAACTTCGACACCTGAGTTCTGGTCTGATGTTTAGCAAATGTTAAAATAAGTAGCCTAGAAATTTAGACAGACTATAGCAGTAGCAAATGGATTTTTGCTCTGCATGTCGGTCTAGCCACACTCCATTTGAGCCTCACCAGGTCTCTATCTATACCTAAACAGTGTTGTGTTTTGCCAGTCCAAGCGCTCTATCGGTTTGGTGGACCAATCAGAGCTCTTTATCTGTTTGGTGGACCAGTCAACAGCCCTCTATCCAATTGGTGGGCCAATCACAGCACTCTATCGGTTTGGTGGGCAGACTGTTGCAACACAGTCCCATTGACTGAGATCCGTAACAGATGAGTCAACAGCATGTGGAGACAGTATGAAAGACAACCCACGACTGAGATCTGTTTATGGGTTGTGACCAGACTAGGGTTGTCACGGTAACCGGTGTAGTGGTAAACCCCGGTAAAAAAGTTGACAAAAATAATAACCATCTTGTTTTTAAAAAAAATATTATCTCGGTGGATTACCGTGGCTGCGGTGTAGGCGCGGTGACCCTTTTCAGCCACCGTATCATGTGCTGAAGTTGCCGGCGGCACATGCGCGTTTTGTTGTTTATAACCAAAACTTTCTTGAAGCTAAAGCTGAAATAATGGACAAAGGAGGAGACGACAGCGCTCAGGACATTTATTATCCCACAAAGAAGACAAAGTCGGAAGTACGGGCATTTTTTGGATATTTGAAGAATGCCGAGGGACAGTTGATAGAAGACGGCTATCCTGTTTGCAGCACGTGCAGAAAAAGTGTCTGTGAAAGGCAGCAACGCTTCAAATCTCATGACACATCTGCATGACCATCACCCACAACTCTACAGTCAACGCAAGGCAAGCTAACATTAGCGTTTTAGCTAAAGTGCATGATCTGAGGATTTGGGTTGAGGGAGAATGCAACGAGTCGCTATATAAAGCAGCCGCAGCACCGCTACCTGCATATAAACCGTGTCGCGCACACCCCCATATTGAAATGACGCTATGCATTACGGGGCTCCCAGGGGCAGATAAGAGTTGGTCTCTCTCCGAGAATAATTATGAATTTAACAACGATTACTGCCTGATGACATTTTCCCAAATCTGCAAAGCTCACTGGAAGGACACAAACCAAGGACAATATTTTCCTGATATAGGGTTTATTACTCAAGTAAGAGTAAAAAAGTATCTGATTAGAAGGCTACTTGAGTACTGAGTATCATCTGATCTAATATTTTTAAAATGATGACATCAAACAGACAAAAATTGAGAAGTTATGGGCAAATATTGCTATTTTAAAGACTAAAGGGGAAAAATGTAAACAAATAAACAACATAATTAAAAATTAACAAATTTTAGGCAAAATTTAGACACAAACTGAGGACAATATTTTCCTGACATACAGGGTTTATTTAGTTGTCTGAAAAAGTAACACGTTTTTAAAAAAATACCGCGATAATCCCGAAAACCGTGGTAATTTTGGTGACGATAACCGTGAGGTTAAATTTTCACACCGTGAAAACCCAGACTAGACTATATCATATATTCACATATATGGCCACGCCATATAAATATAGCAAAATAGCAAAAATGGAGCAAAAACATACTAAACTTTAAGAGTCCAGGTACATACTGAATGGTGGTGGTTTCTGTGTAGTTACGCCTCAAAAACACTCACAATGGACATCTGGTTCTTGAAATTTAGCAGAAAAGGGACATTGGGCCAAACTGTTATTGTCAGACCACCGGGAGCATCTCATGAAATGTCAAGGACAAACCATGAACCATCAGCAGGTAGTTGGGGGAGGTTGCTGTGTGACAACGCAGCAGCTTTGAGCCTGAACTCAGAGGACAAGGAGTCTCTGCTGCTGGGGTCGTCGTGGCAGATAGACCACAGAGCACAACCACTGTTAACTGGGACTTTTCAGTGATTATTTACAGCTCTTTTAGTCTGAAACCCATTGTGGTGCCAAACGGAAGCAGCTAAGCATCATTAAATCATAAAACACAGGACAGGAGATAAAACTTTACTCTGTGTAGACTACATTTATTCATACCTCTTGACATTTACTGTTTTATTCACTTTTTATAACCATGATTACTATTGAATAAAAAGAAATAAAACACAATTCAGAGAAAACCTGATGACATTTGAGTCATAAATTGGCAATTACTGATCCAGTAAACATTAGATAAAAAGTTGTTTGTAATTGTGTCTGGTTTTCATCTTTATCTTAGTCTAATGTGGAAAAATGACTCTGCATTGAACCGATATACTAACAAAGTGTTAATTGGAACAAAAATCTGTATACTGTGAGCTTTCGCACATGAGTTGGCACTCTACTCTCAACACCCGTTATACAAGATTTTAATTTTAGAAGAGATGGTATTTTAGGCCATGCAAGATGACGAATTCAAACTCAATGGAGAGGCTGAATAATGTACAAGTGACCTGAGAAAGGATCCCAACAAAACATTTGAAGTAAAACTGATCAGAGGTTCTGTTCAAGCGATAATTTGTAACCTTCATTTATAATCAGTCCCAATTATTCACAAATCTGAACACATTTACAAAGGTGCTTCATAGCCACTCCTATCCTTTGGTCTGCAGCATTAGTAAATGAGGTTTGGAAGACAGGCGGCGTGTCTGTAAGGCAGGCAATGTGGTGACATTCGAACGGCGGAAACGTGGAGGATATCTGATGGTCATCAAATCGAAATGTAATAATCCTCCAATCAAATCAAAGTCATTATGTTATCTGCTGTGTGTACAAGGAGAGTTCTAATACTCTGGCATTATGGTAATGTCATTTCCTCTGTCTTATCTCTCAGGCTTTCAGTTTAATTGAGCATTGTATTATCCAGATTTAAATGTAGATTTATAATACCTCTGTCTTTTTTTTCAGTTAAATGGAAAAAAAGAGGCTCAATTTAAAGCACTCTATACCTTTAAGGATCTAACATTCAAAGCGAAATGATTTCATTGGATTCATAATAGGGTTTAATTATTTCTGAAAATCACTCCTAAATGAACTCTGATTGTTTACAAGACTCGTATTTTCATTTGGTAACAATTAGCATAAATACAAATATACAGTGCGTGTAAAGCAGTAATCAGCATGAACGATTTCAGAACATTAGTCTTGCAATTCCTTTGGCTTAGACATTTATACACAAAAGCAGCCAACTTATTTAAGACTCAATGGATTACTCTGAAACTGGCATTGTGCCGATTGCCCCCAGCAACAGCTTCTCACAACAGGATTAAATCCATATGAGCAAGCACGGTGCGATGCTTGAAAGGATGCAATAGCGCAAAGCAATTTCATTACCAGATAGGGGGAGGAATGTCAATGCGCCACATTTCCCCAGCTCCTGGTTCTCACCCTGTCCAAATATCAAGTGGATCAAAGGTGCTAGTCTGAGGTTAATTTGCAGAGAGAGATTAGAATGCAACCCAAACCACAT